GATCGAACTGAGAACTTAGTTCATTGATTATTGACATGATGAAAGACATTTACACCAAGGCGCGAAGGCGTCACGTCACAAGTGCAAACACAAACACGTGGAACGTCGTCTACGCGTCCGACAAGGTTCCGTTGTGCTGGACTGTGGGCTGCGTTCCGGGCTTGGTCGTTGGCTTGGTTGACGGTTTGCGCGTGGGCTTGACCGTGGGTTTGGTCGAGGGCTTGGCCGTCGGCTTGTTGGTGCAGCCAGCCACCGCCAGCGCAGCGTCCAGACGACCACTGCTTTCCAGCTTCTTTAACGCGTCCAGGCCGCCGATGAACTTGCCGCCGAGCCAAATGTTGGGCACCGTGTCCTGATGCGTGCGACTCTCGAGGGCGCGGTAGATCTCTTGGCCCGTCGGAGTCGTTGACGAGTCTTGAATGTCACAATAGCCAAAGTGCGCACCTTTGGACTTGAAGAAGGCCTTGGCTTGGGTGCAGTACGAGCAGCCTGCAAAGCCAAAGAGCGCGCAGCCGTTGTCTTTGGTGAACTTGGTGATCCAGTCGTCCGGGCTGGTTGCTCGAAGGGCCGAGGCAGAGTTGCATACCACCATCATGCTGGCAATGGCGAGAGAGAGAAGCGTCGAGACGGACGGGAGCATCTTGGGGAAGATAGAAAGTTGGTTTGTGAGCGGGCTGCACAAATGCCTCGACTCGCCACCACATGTGGCGCGTGGCCCGACGTTTTCGACTCTTGAGTAGGTCGTTGTTTCCAGACGCCATGGCTCACAGTGGTATATGTCCGACATTCCCCTTGACGCAATGACGCGGACCAACTTTGTGGCATTCGATGGAAACACACGGTAATTCTGTTGCCCAAAATCAGTTGAAAGCGATGGTGTGCTCGTTCATGTTGATATTTGCAGTGGTTGAACACTACAAGTTCCCGGCCATGAACATCCGGAGACGGTACCGGAAAGCAAAATGGGACACAAGTTGGCGCAACGGTGCCAACACGACGAGCCCCATTCGAGTCTGTAGTTGTCAACGTTTTTGGAATCCGTAGCGTGCCATCGACATGACACGTCGGTGGTACGCACGAAACTGGCTAGGATTCCTCGCCATCATCACATCTGACTCTGTCATCGCATGATCCCACGTTGGACCGTCCGCGAAGAAGGTGGTAATGACGATCGAATGGCTTCGATGCAAGATCGCTCTCCGCATCGAACGTCGCCCGGCCATGTGCGGTGCACACGCGTCCTGGACAATGGTCCTGTCTCGGAACATATGGTAGTAAACACTGTTATCGGCTTCAGACATATGTTTTCTTGCTTTGCGCTGAGCCAATGAGGCCTCAGAGATCCCACAAAATTGCAAATCATGCTCGATAGATCACGGGCGTACACGAAACCAAATCACATCCGATGTATAGCACATGCATGCAGCGCTTTCGATATCACTACGACTGTCGGTAGTATGGTATACCAGTGTAAGTGGTATGCCGAGCCGGTTTCAGAGTCCACGACGCCATCCATTTGCAGTACGTCAGTAACATATGATTGTTCGCTTCACTTGCTACGATCCATCGGCTAGCT